TATTCAGAAAGTCTGAGAATCCGCTATCTATCTACCTAAAAAAATTTTTTTTTATTAATTATAATTGGACATTTTTTTGTTTTTATTTTTTTATGATATATACAAAAATACATACAACCCTTAGTTTTCATCTACCCTTTACGATCAACCCCTATTTTTTATTATAGCAAATAGTTATTCTTATTGAACTAAAACAATGTTTCTTAGAAAAACATAGCAAAACAATGTTTGTCGGGTCTGCTAGTTTAATTATAAAAGCTTGCCAACGCTCGGCACACTGATACTTTGGTACAAAAATAAAATAAAATATAATAGTACGGGAGGTAGCAACGTTTTCGTAAAAGAATTTCAGGTCAGCTGATTTTGTGATATGTCTTCCTTCTTGCACTTTCGGTTAGAGTCTGGGCAATCTGGCTGGCGGTAGCGGTTGCGTTCATTAGTGCGCATCCTATCTGTCCAGGTAATAATCCTGGATTTTAAAAGCATTTTAAGAAGCGTAATTTTAAATTTTTCGTTTTTAAATAAGTCTACCTGACATACTTTTTTTATTGCCAGACATTTTTCACATTGCTAACTATGTGCCAGACGCGATTTTAAGTTTTTTTTAATAAAAATTTCAAAGTATTTTAGAATGTCTGTAATTTTAATATTATGTTATTTAAATATAAGAAAAACTAAAAATGAATTTGCCAGACATTAATTCGATTGTTAAGTCTTGAATTAAAATGAAAAAGTATTGCAGTAGGTATGATGAAGCATTGCATTTTAAGAAGCGTAATTTTTAATTTTTCCTTTTTAAATAAGTCTACCTGACATACTTTTTTTATTGCCAGACATTTTTCACGTTGCTAACTATGTGCCAGACGCGATTTTAAGTTTTATTTTTATAAAAATTTCAAAGCATTTTAGAATGTCTGTAATTTTAATATTATGTTATTTAAATACAAGAAAAACTGAAAATGAATTTGCCAGACATTAATTCGATTGTTAAGTCTTGAATTAAAATGATAAAGTATTGCAGAATGATGAAGCATTGCATTTTAAGAAGCGTAATTTTTGATTTTTCCTTTTTAAATACGTCTACCTGACATACTTTTTTATTACCAGACATTTTTCACGTTGCTAACTATGTGCCAGACGCGATTTTAAGTTTTATTTTTATAAAAATTTCAAAGCATTTTAGAATGTCTGTAATTTTAATATTATGTTATTTAAATACAAGAAAAACTAAAAATCAATTTGCCAGACATTAATTCGATTGTTAAGTCTTGAATTAAAATGATAAAGTATTGCAGTATGATGAAGCATTGCATTTTAAGAAGCGTAATTTTTGATTTTTCCTTTTTAAATACGTCTACCTGACATACTTTTTTTATTACCAGACATTTTTCACGTTGCTAACTATGTGCCAGACGCGATTTTAAGTTTTATTTTTATAAAAATTTCAAAGCATTTTAGAATGTCTGTAATTTTAATATTATGTTATTTAAATATAAGAAAAACTGAAAATGAATTTGCCAGACATTAATTCGATTGTTAAGCCTTGAATTAAAATGATAAAGTATTGCAGTATGATGAAGCATTGCATTTTAAGAAGCGTAATTTTTGATTTTTCCTTTTTAAATACGTCTACCTGACATACTTTTTTTATTGCCAGACATTTTTCACGTTGCTGACTATGTGCCAGACGCGATTTTAAGTTTTATTTTTATAAAAATTTCAAAGCATTTTAGAATGTCTGTAATTTTAATATTATGTTATTTAAATACAAGAAAAACTAAAAATGAATTTGCCAGACATTAATTCGATTGTTAAGTCTTGAATTAAAATGATAAAGTATTGCAGTATGATGAAGCATTGCATTTTAAGAAGCGTAATTTTTGATTTTTCCTTTTTAAATACGTCTACCTGACATACTTTTTTTATTACCAGACATTTTTCACGTTGCTAACTATGTGCCAGACGCGATTTTAAGTTTTATTTTTATAAAAATTTCAAAGTATTTTAGAATGTCTGTAATTTTAATATTATGTTATTTAAATATAAGAAAAACTGAAAATGAATTTGCCAGACATTAATTTGATTGTTAAGCCTTGAATTAAAATGATAAAGTCATGAAAAGTATTGCAGTATGATGAAGCATTGCATTTTAAGAAGCGTTATTTTTAATTTTTTTTTGTTCAGAATCAGAACAGCGTATAACAACTTCTGCGTCAAAATCGATTTGGCAAATATGAAAAATAATCCTAGAATCAGCTTCTTCGTGTTCTTCACACGATAATGATTCTTCAATAGTTTTAATTACTTAGTTATTTATCACTTTGTATGAATAACATTTATTAAAACATACGTAAATGTTTGTATTACCAATGAAAGGCATCATACTGCAATACTTTTTCATTTTAATTCAAGACTTAACAATCGAATTAATGTCTGGCAAATTCATTTTTAGTTTTTCTTATATTTAAATAACATAATATTAAAATTACAGACATTCTAAAATACTTTGAAATTTTTATAAAAAAAAACTTAAAATCGCGTCTGGCACATAGTTAGCAACGTGAAAAATGTCTGGCAATAAAAAAAGTATGTCAGGTAGACTTATTTAAAAAGGAAAAATTAAAAATTACGCTTCTTAAAATGCTTTTAAAATCCAGTATTATTACCTGGACAGATAGGATGCGCACTAATGAACGCAACCGCTACCGCCAGCCAGATTGCCCAGACTCTAACCGAAAGTGCAAGAAGGAAGACATATCACAAAATCAGCTGACCTAAAATTCTTTCTTTTCAAACGTTGCTACCTCCCGTACTATAAAATGTGACAGCACTTATAGGCAGCCAACATACACGAAGAGATAAAAAAATACCAAAAAAATATATATATAAACGTGTGAGGAGAGCAACTATGAATATCCAGACCTAGCTCGTTTATCTGTTGTATGTTATGAATGGGTGTACGAGTATAATATTATTTTATCCCTGCACGATACATATAGTGATCAAAATAACAATAAGAATCGGTAAAACAAAAGAAAATGTATACTTTAGTCATTAAGGCGAGTTAAATATTAATACTCTGGCAAATAGGTATTACGAGACCAAAACATGTCGAGAAAACAGAGTTCGTAGCGCTAAGTTATCTGGTGATGTTCACGTCCAATGTATGTACTTATAACCATTTCTCAACGTTATAATAAAGATAAATAGGTGTACGTGAAGTTCTCGACTACACTGAATGGAAAATAAAATCGCTTCGTCCTCTTGTGTTTATTCGAAATATAGCGTTTGAATAGAAATAGCCTCTGTATTACGTAGCATATGGCTGACAATATTTTTAGTAATCTTTACTGAATATTGTTTAATATGAAAATAGTTGTGTCCGTTACTCAGGTTAATTTGTGGCAGTTGATGTTGCAAATTGTAGTTGACACAGCTTCATTAATATATATATATATATATATAATAATAATATAATATGGACTATTCAAAATAGACGACCATATAACAGTCTGAAACTTCAGTTTTATAAGTTTAGATTACAATTATTCTTACGTTCATTCCAATCTAAATTGGGGTATTTTTTTTAAATTGATTTAAGAATTCATAGAGCTAGTTATATTAATAAATATATGGCACTTCAACCTTTTTAGGACTGGGCCTCAGATTTTTGTATCTGTTTCATGATCATTTGTCAATCTAATAAACAAACGTAAAACACAGTTATCCGGAAAAAGATAATAATTATAAGAAAACTTGACAATAATACAGGTTTAGTAAAATTACCCTTTTTCTACAAATGACTAAAAAACATATGTACGTAGATATTTAAACCAATGTTCATTATACATAAGTTAACTTACAAAGGCATTCTAAAAAAGATGCCGGGTTTTCATATATTTCTATGATCATCTTCTAGTCAAATAAATATCGTTTATTGACTAGAAGCGCTCAGACATTTCACAATGAATGAAGAAATGTTCATAAATCCCTAGACATGATAATCGGGAAATTACAAAGATGTAAGAAAACATAAGATCTTTGTAATTTACGCATAATAGAAGAATATTTAGACCATAAGTTTTGACAACAATTATAAATGAAAGAAAAAGAACACATGGCACTTTGATAGTTTATATGACATTTGCTGGAAATTAATCTGAATTTACCACTGTTGGCAATTAATAGTCCGTTGTACAAATATATATTAAAACACTATGTTAAAACAAAATATATATTTAGTATAATCTTCCTAATAATCATTATGTTGAGAGTAGAACAAATACCCAATTTTACTAGGTACACAAATTATATCGGCCATTTTAGCGAAACGGTAAGATTTTATTGAATTTACATAAATCGTGTAAATTTATTCCCAGCCAAGTTATTATTAACAGATTTCTCGAATTTATTTGATCGTCAATTGATCAATCCTCTATATTTTTTGGTGAATTCGTTAAATTGCTAAAGAATAAATTGTAGTGCACTTAATAAATTATAAATTTATTTATTATATTCACGCCTATAGATACTACAGACACTTGCTACAGTCTTTATAAACTTCTCTCGGTACTCTTCCTCATGCCACCAGACATAGTAGTTGGTTCTGTGTGATATTGACCAGCTCTAGCAAGTACATTGTGATTATGTTTTTGAAAAGTACAAGCAGCTCTAGTCCCACACTCACCAAACACACTCCCCTAATGATTTTTTTTTATGAGGACGAATCACATAAACAATTGAAACGAAATTTAATGTTTTTGTAATATTTTAAGTACGTGGGTAACACTGAAAATGTTTAGAACTAGCCAGAAACATTACTAGTGAAAACTTTTTTGAATTTAATTTTTAGAACTCTTTGGTAACCTAATGTATTATATTGCATTCATTTGTCATTTGTTTTTGTGAATTGGCGGCAAATCTAAAACTCTTGTTACACGTGAAAATGAACCTAACCCGAGCAAATTTTCATATTATTATTATATATATTATAAACTTACCAATCTAGTCCCTTCATATAGTTGTTGTTATTGAAGAACTGGAGTTCCTCATATGTAATCGGGCTGGGTTGATTCGGTACCAGGACTGGATGCATCGCCAGGAACGTGTAGAGCGCGGTGCTTCCTGTCTTCTGAGGCCCGATGACCAGGATTTTGGGTAACGTATCGCACCACTTCGACTTGGACCAGATCCGTCTGTGGCGGGCATCGTCGCAGGGGTTCTGTGAATTTTTATGTTAAATTCAGAAAATCCGTTAACTACATATTTTATTAAAACAATAATTGATTCAGTGGGAATCTAATCTAGGACACGTTATCTGAGTGCGATAACCACAAACCCATAGAAGCGTCTTAAAAATATGCTTTGGAAATCTTGTTATATATACGTATATATTTAGTAATAAATGATTTAGAAGCAATGAGATTGAATGAATAAAACCAAAACACGAATTCCTGAAACAAAACACGATCGCAACAAAACAACATAAATCAAATACGATTAAATATTTCCGGGCTGTTAATATAGGCCACGATTCTCTGCATAGAATAAAAAGTATGCTATCACAATGTTTGTTTTTCGATAAGTTCGCACAGCCGTGGTTTGGAGGTACTCACGAGTACACACATACAATATTTCCTGTACAGACCTCAAGAGAATGCTCGCTGGAAGAAATTTTGCGCTTATGAAGAGGTAATCGTCGAAACTGAAGCGTATTTTGAGACTGATGACAAATCGTATTCTTAATTTGAATTAAATAAAGGATCTATCAAAATTATTCCCTTCGTAACTTGGAATAAATTGGTTTCTTAGAAAGAATCAACGTTTTCAAACGGTACTGAGAAATTGTAACGACCAAACTATTGTGTATAGAGCAATCCATTTTCAATACACTCGATTAATTCCAATGCGAATAACTATTTTCTCTGAACTTAATACATTTATCGGATATCGAAGTACATTTTTAGGTGAACGTCTATTTCTCAAATACAAAACCTTTTTCGTTGGTTTAAATAATCTTAGTTTACGTGTTACATTAGTAAGTTATACAGACGCCACCACCACCACCACGTGAATGTCGAGGCTATTTAATTTCTTGATACCACGGGCCTAGTGACAAGATTGAAAAAGACAAAACCATCCGAATTAGTGATTTAGTTTTCGTGCACATTAGTCTTAAGTCAGTGGTAAGTGAAAAATAGAACACAAGAACAGTGTCTTTACTTTAATAGAGACTTTAAGTAGTGTAGAACACTTTCTTATGTTAAATATCCTTTATAGTAAATGCGGTTAAATTACTTATTTGTCTTAAGTTAGGCAAGATCCAATTGTTTCATGATGGCTTAGTAAAGACACATGTAAGCCTTAAACTCGGTAAGGCTGTAACGGGCTTATTACGTAAAGCGATCTTTTACAGTAATCAATGGTAGGAGAGCTGAAAAAGAACCATTGGCGCTACAACCTTTTTAGGTCTGGACCTCGGCCATTTCTCTTTCGGCTTCTAGTGCCTACCACACGCCGTTGACCGCCAGTTTTTGGTCTAAGGAAAGGGTTTCCTAACGATATTTTCCTTTGCCGTTCGAGCGGATGTTAAATGTGTACATAGACTTTCAGTCCATTGGTACACAGCCAGAGATCGAACCTACGACCGACGAATGAGAGTCGCACGCTGAAGCCATTAGGCCAACACTGCTCTTGAACAATACTTAATAATCGTATATTGATGGTATATTTTAGCGACATTATTTACACAAACAATTCCATTAAATACTTTTTGCTTTTATAAAGTACTTCAAGATCTAGTACGCAATAAAGTCTTTCTATAAAAATACTTATTACTTTATGAAAGTCCCCGGTGAATACAAAATTATATTCAGATCGGGACGGGCAGAAAGCTTCATTTTATTTTCCGTCGCTTTAAGAAAAAACTACTTTCTAGTAATCACAAAAGGTAATCTTATTATGTTTCATAATATTATTCGATATTATTGTCATTGAGTTTGAATACCAACTTGGCCTTGCCAAGGATCTTTATTCAAATCATTATATCCAATATGTAGTTTGTTTTGTTGTTTACGCCTTTATTGGAATTTTAGGTATTGTGGGGTTTTTGTTACACTAACTTAGTTAAGCCATATAAAGGAATGTTATATGATACATATGTATAATGTATGACTTATTATCGAATTACATAGGCTAAAGAACCTTTTTTATTGTCCGTTGAGTGAACTGACAAAAATTCTATGATTCCTATAGTAATTAGTGTAATAATTTTTTTTATTTGGTTATGCATTCCAGTTGATTTAGGCTCACCGGTTAGACAGGATTGTGTTTTTATAAACAGATTTAACACAGAATAAATATAATAGAAGACCCTAAAAGCCCTTGAAGGCTTGAGGCTTGTTTATAGAATCATATTCTTAGGTAATGTAAACAGTTATATTGAAGAACATGACTTTTTGGTGTGTTAATTTTAACATCTTGTATTTCCGACTGCTTCTTAACAATTTCTGCTGCTTAAAACGTTTACATTGTTGTAAATGTAAATAAAGTCTATCTTGCTTAAATTTAGATAGTTTAAGCAAGATTGTTATTTTTTTTTAACCGACGTAATCATTCAATGTACCGCTTATAAAATTAATTAGATTAAAAAAATAACTATTAAACAGGCTTTAAAAGTAATTTACCATAAAATAAAATAATCCTCAAAACTAAAGGCAAACGAATGAGTTATAAAAATTGGAATTAAAATACATTGTTTCATTTCATGAACTAGAGAAATAAATTTATTAAGGTCATAAAATAATTAAGCCGCACTGCGGAGTATATAAGTTAGACCATGGATATTGAGAGGTATGAAGTAGGATCATGTTGAAGAGCAATTATGTATATTGGCGAGAATAGAATTCGCTTAATGGATTTCGTATTAACTTGATGTAATTAAACAATTATGTATCGCCGACCCCCACGCCCTTGTCTGGACTATAAACAAAAAGTAAGTAGAAGAGGTTTGGTACTTTTTCCGTATACATGAGCCAATCCTTTTTGCGTCTTAATTATAAATAGGTTGTTATGCAGAAACGGGTCGCGTTGAAGTCGTACACTACTGCAACACGAGCGCATAATGCAGTCGACTACGACTGCTTGGAGCAGTTGTGTTCGACCGCAATACTCGTATAAAACTGATGCGAGTTCATTAACAAGATGGATTTCGATGAAGAAACACTGTTTCTTGTACTACTATTACGCAACCGTAGGCGTAGAAGACACCTTAGCATGTGGATGCGTCCAATACTACAATCAAGAGAACAGGATGGAATATTTCATACTTTGTATCCCCAAATGAGAGAAGACAGTTTTTCAACTACTTTAAAATGTCCGTGGTTTCATTTGATGAATTAGTTAGTATTTTATTTTATTTGAGGGAGTGGCGTGCGGTCGGCAGCAACCGCTTGTAGCGGTCCGTGTATGGTGGGTCCGGCAGCTCTAAGCAGTCGACCGCAGAGCGACTGCTCCGACCGCTCAGAAACTGGGCGTGCGGTCCGGGTATGGCGGATATGAATTTAGTATGGAAACTACAGAGCGCCGTGCGGCGACCGCTTAGAGCAGTCGGTATCGACTGCAACATGCGGTCCGTCTCTGGCCACACTAACTGAATAAGATTATAATTTTAAGCCACAGGCGACTACTGAAGTTTACTTCAGTAACTAAAGGCCGGCAACACACACGCGAGCCATGGGCATATCATTCATGTCCACTGTGCTATAAAAAAGAAACTTTTTAGTAGTAGTAGTTAGTAGTGTAATGTAAACAGTGTATTTAATAAATAATTTAGTGGAAACAAAGTGTTTTCTATTTTTGTTTTTATAATTACGTATTTTTAACTTTGATTATTGCTTTATTACTTCAATAGATATAATACTAACTTTTAGCTTTCATATTACTAGAATTCAAATTCCCGTTTAGTCATGCAACGAAACTTTTGTTTGGTTTATGGAATGTGTCATTGAAAGTATATCCCTAGTTTTAATGTACAATGCGTCTTGTGTTTGAAAAGTTTTGAAGAACGTACCAGGCACAGTTCGATCGAATGCACAACAATGGTACGAGAGTGCACAATGCTGTACTGATTTCTCCAAAATTTTAAATGCTATAGATTCTTACATATACCTAAAATGCGTAATCTTGTAGATAACAGCAGCAGGATTACAGATTACATTACTTGAGACTGTGTTGGCCTAGTAGCTCCAGCGTGCGAATCTCATTCCTGAGGTCGTAGGTTCGATGACCGGCTGTGCACCAATGGACTTTCTTTCTTTCTATGTGCGCATTTTACATTCACTTGAACGGTGAAGGAAAATATCGTGAGGAAACCGGCTTGCCTTATACACAAAAAATCTACGGGTACAGGAGGCTGATCACCTACTTGCCTATTTGATTGACAAATGATCATGAAACAGATACAGAAATCTGAGGCCCAGACCTAAAAAGGTTGTAACGCCACTTATTTTATTTTTTAATTTATAATTATTTTTACTACTTCATTTTTACTACGTTACATCGTATTAAAGTTTTAAATTTCTAAAATTATAAACTTAAAAAAAAAACTATGACTACATTGCCAATAAAACCATATATATCTCGACTTATATTATCATACACGTGAGATGCACTATTATGTGAAGTTATAGATAAGAAAACATTTGGCGATCACGCTTGTATAACAATTTTATTTCATACATTGATACTTTGACACTTAAGCACATTTATATGTCTATATCATTCTTTTTAGGTATCTGTGTGCCCTTTTTTGGCAACGGCCTCCTCTAAATCCCGCCATTCCTGTCTGGACTGTGCGACTCACTGCCAGGTTACATGTCTATCCACCTTCTAAGTTGTCTTCCTTTTTTCTTTACCTTGGGCACCACTTTAGTACTTTCATTCTCCACTATTCTGTTCCTCTTGACATGTGCCCCGACAATTTCTACTTAAGTTTATTTATTTATATTGTAACATGCTACCTTAAGCGGGCCATAGACGGACCGCATGTTGCAGTCAAGACCGACTGCAATATGCGGTTTGCTCAGGAACTGCTCGAGCGGTCCGTGTATTGCGAATATGAATTTAGTATGGAAACTGCAGATCGCTGTGATCGGAATCTTTAGTTGTTCGTAAAGATTTATTTTATCTATTCTTATAGTCACTATTAATTAGATACATTTAATTTACATAAATAAACGTACAAACACTAAAAACAATTTCGCAAGAAAACTCCAAACACAACATGGACTGATTTAAAGTCTTAATAAATTCCAGTACAGAAAACCTAGATTTTTCCCGAACAAAGAATGCGAAGACAGGAGACCTAGGTAATATGAAAATTACTGGAGTGTAAAGATCTAGATCTGGAATGTACCAAGCTCAAAGCTCTGTATCACGAGGTATTTATGCGGGAAACGAAAACCGGAACAAACCTAGCTATCTCTTTGACAGTTCGCCTTTGTAATGATGCACAATTGTAAATATTAATAACTGGCTATTGCTTACGGCATTTTGCAACTGAATTCTGTTTTCATCTCAACTGGAAAAACAATTATGATTCTCGTTAAAAGATCTCGATTCTTTGTTATTTTTATTAGTGATTTTTACAACATTATCGAAGTATTATTAATAAATAAATATCACATCTAAGGCTATTTTCTATATTATTTATTAAGTAATAAAAATATACATAATAAAGATTACATTAAGTCCATGTGGCCTACCATGAGCTCCTATTGCGAGCCTATTGACAACCTACAACTGAGATACATCGCTGATTCAATCCATGACGTCGAAAAAATCAGCCCGGCAGCGTCATTCTATCTGTATGATAATTCGTACCATCACTGTCGCGAGTGAACCAACAATTGACCGTTTCGCCTTCAAACTATGACAGAATAAGCGATTCTAAAAGAGTTATATTTTGTTCAACTTTTTTGTGCAGTTTAGAACATATAAAATGCAATATAATAATTAAAACTAGGTATATGAAGTAAAAATAATAGGATGTACTATGTGTAATTTACTAAAAACTTTATAATTTTTATATTATGGACTAGCAGACTCGGCCAAGATTTGCTGAGGCTAATTTTTTTGTTATATTACATCGTAGTAAGCTATTCAAGGGAAACGGTAGGAGAACACTAGTCACGGGGACCACCATGTTTTTTTGGTGGTTATGCCATAAATTGTATATAAATAGTTTCATGAATTATGATCAGGATGATTCATAATATTTTAGCTTGGCCGATCGTCAAATTTGATACTTACTTTTTTGTTTCGACGCATTTCATTTGATTATATTTTTGCCAATTATATTTATTAGTCATGCCCTCAATGACTTACTGAGTGTTTGTAATTGAACTATTCCAAGGAAAGTATTAGTTTTTTTTTTAAATAGAACAGGAGGCAAACGGTCAGAAGGCTGAGGCTCGACACTCTCAATGCCAGCGGGCTCGCGAGTGCGTTGCCGGCCTAATAAGAATTGGTACGCTATTTTCTTGAAGTTACTATATTATCAGTCTAACCTTTTATTATTCCTATTTCCTCCTCTTCCTCCATAATATTATCCTTACGACTGACAATTGTGTGCCTTTCATGTTAAAAATAAATGGAAATGAGGTATGTACTCTGGGCTTATTATTTTAAGATTGAGTATCAACGGCCACCGAACCGTTCTTTGTGGTACAAACAAGAAGACGAAAAATAGTTTAAATAAAGATCACAAATCTTAATATACTAGTATATTTTAAATTCCTAATATAAGAATAAATAGTACTTATCATATAATATTTTAAACTAATTTATTAATGACTTTTATAGCTTACTTACCCCCCACAATGGGTTCAGCTCATCTGGTCTGAGTTGAAAGTATTTCTCAGCTAGAGCCAGCGGAGGTGCTGACGCGAGACGCACGTTGGTCCAGCATCGGAGGAACTTCACGACGGACTCGAAGGTGTAGAGGGCCAGTCGATCATTGCCGTAATTCGACATATGTGTCATGAAGATATTTATCTGAAGAAGATTTATTTTTTCATTATTAGTTTCACGACAACATGCAACAGGAGTCCCAAAAATATATCTGTTTCTATTCATCAGAGCATAAACAGTATTTGATAGAAAGAGACGAAATAGCATAGTGAACAGTATGCAAGAAGTGTGATTTAGGAGCCTTAAAACAAACATGTCTTAGACCTTAAATTCGGCAGAAAAGGCTCGTCATCACATAGAAATGATAAAAAATGAAACACATATCATAGTATACATTCAATAAATATAAATTATTATTATTTTATTTTACTCCAACATCTGTAAAGACTACTAATAATTAGCGTCGCGTCTAAAGATCAATTTACAAAGACACCACGAGATCAATCCACAGTATAACTTGAAAACTCCGATTGACATATCTTTGTAATCCGACACAGTAAAAATAGTCTATTTTGTTACGTTTGATATACGTATTAATAAAAAATAGCAATAAATTTATTTATTTATTAACACTGTTGCATTACATATTAGGTTATAATAATAATAATAATTTATTGCAAGACTGTGGTACAAAAATGTGTGAGGTGGTACCAATCGTAAGTTCGCATATAGGACTCCCACACAAAATGGCGCGCAAATTTGTCTTTCAAGGAATTTTACATTATTAGTCATATGAATTGGTCAATTCTTATATTATTTGTATCATATCATACGTTATTAAATTTATATCAAGTACAGTGTCTCACGGAAATAATCATTTACTGAATAATACATTTTTCCAAAAGTCGATTTTTAAAAACTCTAGTCGGAAGATATCTTAATTCTTTTGGTAAATTATTGTAAACCTTGATTGCAATACAAAAGGTGTTTTTCCTACACAGTTCCAGATTGAATTATGGCACAGCCAATGGTACATATACAATATACATTTAGATAACATACATTAAGGAGGCAACGGGCGGCCTCATCGCTAACAAGTGATAGTGTTCCACAACAGACAACGACAATTCCAGGAAACCATAGTACGGAAAAAAAAACCTACTAATTATTTAATATTTAAATGAAAATTCAAATCTTATTCTTATTAAAATAATTACTTTAAACGTATTAAAATAAGGTTTTTTTAATAAATCGATCCAATTCAAATCTTAATTAAAACATCCAAAAACGGAAAATTCAAGTAGATAGCGTGATAATTCCCTAGTCCTAAACAAACTAGACGTCGACACCAAGGTCAGGGTTATTTATTATCGCCCGTGCTTCCACCTCTAACCCCACTGTTATTTAACTGCAGACTATTAAACCAGAATTTGATGTATGGCCAACCCAATGAATTTCAAATGGCACTTAATTTACTTATTGGGAAGTCCTCTATTAATTTTGTTACAATGTACATTATCTTTAGTAGTAAAATATATATATATAAATATATATATATATATATATATATATATATATATATATATATATATATATATATATATATATATATATGTGTAATGGAATGATATTTCATTAATTTGAATTTGACGCGTCGGAGTGACACGCGATAAAATGGCGGATGACGTGTAAATTAATTTAGTGGATTATAGTGTAAAAAGATAGATAAGTGGACATTAAATGTCGTTTTATAAAGGAATATTATTATGGATTTTTTCTAAATGAAAACACAAAATTGTCTAAAGATAACAGAAATGACAGATCAATATCCAGGCATCAATTCAAGAGAATTTAAGCAATATCTACATGAAAATAATGTTAAATTAATTTTTACAGCTGTGAATACACCATTCTCAAATGGCTTGAATGAAAGGTTAAATCAAACAATAGTTAATAAAATAAGATGTAGAATAAATGAGAAAAATAATAAGAGAACATGGACAACAGTGGCAAGAGAGTGTGTAGAGAAATATAATGAAACAGAACACTCCGTTACAGGTTTTGCACCAAAATATTTATTGGATGGTACAAATGTCAGCATTCTACCAAATGAATTAAAAATAATAGAAGGAGAAGACAAGTGGATTGCTGATAAAAGATTGGCATTAGAAAATACAATAAAATCCCACAAGTACAATAAGAAAATATTTGATAGAAAAAGAAAAATGCAAGAGTTTAATATAGGCGACAGTGTATATGTTGAGAATGGAAATAGACTGAATAGAAAGAAATTAGACGAATTAAAAATAGGTCCTTTTAAGATAGTAGGGAAAATATCGAACTCCATTTATAGGATTGACACTGGTAACAGAAAAACAGAATCAACTTTGTTCCACATAACAAAATTACAACCGGTTACAACAGAATCTGAAGAAGATGAAATATAAGGAAAACGAAAATGAAGATAGCTATTAAGTATAGTGTGTAGATATATTATTCAGAATTTTTTCTCTTAGGGGGGAGATGTAATGGAATGATATTTCATTAATTTGAATTTGACGCGTCGGAGTGACACGCGATAAAATGGCGGATGACGTGTAAATTAATTTAGTGGATTATAGTGTAAAAAGATAGATAAGTGGACATTAAATGTCGTTTCTTTGTATTTCAGAGAAACAATTTTGTGTTTTCATTTAGAAAAAATCCATAATAATATTCCTTTATATATATATAACCAATATAGTCAGCGGTCATACTATCACAGAAAAACATTGTGTATAACCCGTACCCACGACTTACGTAAACTATCTACGGAAGCTGGGATTGTGATATATTTGTTCTACTTTCTGATGAAATAATTAAGAATAAATAATTGATGGTAAATAAAAATGAGCAATGTTGGTCTAGTGGCTTCGGCTGATCTCTGAGGTCGTAGATTCGATACCCGTCTTGTTCGCATTAAACATTAGCTCGAACAACGAAGGAAGACATCGTGAGAAAACCGGCTTGGCTTAGACCCAAAAAGTCGACGGTGTGTGTCAGGCACAGGCTGATCACGTACTTGCCTTTTACATTGACAAATAATCATGAATCAGATACAAAAATCTTAAGGCCCGGCGCGACTGATTTATTTTTATTTCATTGATCAGTAAATATGGAAAGATTTATGTATTTCATAAAATATCCAGTCGTCATTACCTAATAAATATTCAAAAAATGTATTTAAAATATTATAAAGATGTAATATTTGGATCTTCAGAACCGATATTAAAAATTCTTTTATCAATAGAAAGCCACATTATTTGTGTCTATATTAAGCCTGTGTGCCTGGGCTATATTTAAGCTGAACTTTGTCGCGGTTTTACAAAATAAGTCATAAAAAACGGTCTAACGAAATCGATGTGTACGAACGCTCCCTTATTCTGATGTTCATATATTGTTTTTTAATATAAGATGGGGCATTCGGGCAGGAGGCTCACCTGACGTTAAGTGATATGTCCGCCGTCCTTGGACACTTACAATGCCTGAAGTCTCGCAAGTGCGTTGCCGGTTTTAAACTAAATTCTTGATTTTAAAGATTGAGTTCTAGAGAAAAGTTGTACATTTCGATCATGCCTTCAAAAAACTCAAACACGACATGTATAACTATTTTATTAAATAAAAAAGTAGTATAAACAACTACACTGATTTTATGGAGGTTTTCACCAATACCTAGAATGAGGTTTACGGGCCATGGTTGCCAGTGCGAAGGGCCGCTGGACTTTTTCAGAACTCTAGCATATATGCCAATGTGCACACAGCATTATATACACGGGTCTTAACAAAGGTTTATAAGTATACAGTAACATACAATAAGCCACTAATAACAAACATATTATTGTCCTTTTCACAATATTATTTAACTTACTTTCTTTTTTACTTAAAAAAAAATTGTCGAATTTTTTTAAGCTTTTAAGTTCGCTTTTGTTATGCGTCAATTACATATAAAAGGAAGTCGTAGCAAATGTCTTAACACGATAAAAGCAACCGAATCCATTTCTAAAAACTCATAATGGTTTTATGTGAATTGAAATATATAATTGTTAAAATGGGCGCAATACACCTAGTCCGAATACTAATATATAAGAAAAGAAATGAGATTATTCGAAAAAAGTGCATTTTTCAATCTCAGTCAGCGCTGACAATAATCGAGAAAGCATTTCAAAGCAAGATTAATAATGAAGATGCTCCAGAATGTAGGTTATACCATTACTCCTATATGAGATTAAGAATTCTTAGATCTCAGATATCTTTTTAAATAATCAGATCAAATGCTTTAGTTAACAAAATGATCTTTAAGAGTATAATAAAAGAAATTAAAATGAATAGCGGGCATTCTGAAAGGGGCAAAGTTTGTAACGTGTTTCTGACGCTAGAACAAATTATCTCATGTTGAATTTGGATTTTACTTAAGCTTCTGATCGAGTAGATATTTAGAATGATCTGTCGTGAAGAATATCTGGAGGTAGACAAAACCATAGCCAGTACTGATTTCACTAAGTATTGTTCCTTTTCTTCTGAAAACTTTATACGAAGCAATACATACTATCTGAAATTGTAAAATTCGTACAGAAAATTTACTTGCATGTTTCTGCCTACCAGACTCGTAATCATTCTTTGTTTCACGTTCCTCGCATCAACACCACTATACAAATAACTCTAAGATTTGTATCGCGCAGCCTGGACATACAACGACCATAATTTAAGCCCTGACTTGTTAAAGCTATCGCGGAATATGCTTAAAAGGTGTATAGTGCTAAATCCCCTGCATTATGTACACAGCCTCACGTACATACACTCACACCACGACATAACACATTCAAATTAGGTATTACTTAGTTAAATGTATTTAATAATATTATTATATTCAAGATAAGAATGCTTGGAAACATGCTGGTCCTGCTCCATAGGACAATCATAGAGCCTGGACAAAATCAAATTGGTTGCTGATTTTTTGCTTTAACATATTTTTGTTATTTCTTTTTTTTTTAATTTATAATGCTACAAATGTAATTATTTTATTGTATCTCACACACTGTTTTGTTGTGTTTTTTAATATGTTTATTACTCTTTAATTAATTAATTATAAATTATAAATAATTAAA